AGAGAGAGAGAGAGACGCAGAAGACAAGAGAAAGAAAAGTAAAAAGAGAACTGCGGCGCTGGGTGGAGAAAAGAGAAAAAGAAAAACGCACAAGGAAGAAATTGAAAAAAAACAAAAAGAAGAGGAGAGAGGCAGAGAAAAAAAGTGAGAAAAGTAAGGAAAAAAAAACAAACAACAGGAAGGAAAGAGAAGAAAACGGCGCAGAGAGAAAAGAGAAATAAAGAAAAGAAGAAAAAGAAAAGGCAAAAAAAAAAAAGAAATTGTAAAATATTTTTTAAACAAATCTTTTTCTTGTAAAATATTTTCTTTCCCTCCATTTTTCACTCTTGTAATCAAATGTACCCTTAGAGAATGTATTGTTGAAAAGAAGAGAGAAAAATGTATTATAATTTTAATGGGACAAACGAGGACTCAATATTTCAAATAACCAGGCGAATTAGGTAGGTCGTTGTTGGTGAGCTAGACAATCAAGTCAAACACGATCCTTTCATTATGGCACACCACCTGACTAATCAAGCCGAGCCATATCAAGCTAATTCCAATTCAATTTCATAATGAGATGGGCTATTGCATGCTGAAGTGTTGTCCATTTTATAGGGATGGAAATATTATGTCCCCGTTTGCCTCCCGTTATCTCAAAAAAAATTTCTAATTTTTTTTTTTTTGCATTTCAATCACACAATTTTTCATAAAATAATATTATACATAAATAATTTTTTTAACTATACAATTTCTAAAAAATATTATTTTTAAAATTATAATTTAAAATAATGGGGCTAAACGGGACTATACGTCCCCACTCTGCCTCGAATGGAGCCAGAAACCCTGTCTCAAATTGTAAAATAGTGGCAGGACGAGATAAATGGTCCTCATCTCGAAATCCACTATCTAAATCTCTTTATTTTAATATATATTTTTATTTCGATTCAAACTTATTTAAAAATTAAAATTAATTAATTAAATGAAGCTGTAAATGGGGACATTTTAATCCACGTTATGCCCCATTTGTAATTCTTCCCATTTTGATAGTTTAGAGCTTGGAAGAGATTTTCTGAATATATATTTATTTATTATTTTTTTTTTCTAAACCTATTTTCAACTACACATTTTGCCCCCGTTTGTCGGCCATTTATTTTTGAGAAAAATATGACTTTGAATAGTGAATTTTTAGAGAATATTTGATTAAAAAGTAGAGAAAAATTTTGGATTTACGTGTAAAATATTTTATTCTGTAAATGTGTGGTTGAAAATGAGTACGTAGAAAAAAGAGTTTTGAAATAATGAGAGACAAACATGGGCATCAAAATTCATAATTTTTTTCCACATTCTCAAACAAAGTAGTTGTACATGCCAAATTACCCTCATTTAAAAACAAAAAACCACACCCTATATTTTAAGTTATATAAAAAAAGTACATCTTTAGCTATTATATGATTTTTCAAAATTTTAGGGAATGTTCTTTTCGTGTTTCAATTTTGTGCTTTTAGTTTTGAATTTATTTTGTGTTTTGCGTATCCATTTTGAGATTGTTGAAAATTTGTTCTTTTTGGCCTTTTGGAAAACTTTTTCTCAAAACAAAAAATTGAAAAACACGTTTACTTTGAAATTTTGAGAATATTTTTTTATAATATTTATTCAAAAAATCTGATTATTCAATAAATTTTATTCATTTAATGTTAATATAGTATTGCATTGATAATCAAATTAGGATTTCACTGATAATCAATTCTATCAATTGGTAAGTTACCAATGATCTTGAGACCCTCAATTGCAGTTGTGCCAATCGAATTTGGAGCAATAACTTCAGAAGCAACATCAAGTGGATAATATGAAACTCCATCACGCGCACGAACATGCGAGGGATTCAAACTAGAATGTTGGTTGTTAATTGTAAAAATTGGTTGTTGACCCATAGCTTTTCCATCATCAATTGAAGTTTTGTTCCTTGAATTGAACATTTGGAGTAACATAGATTCATCAAATTCGCATGTACCCAAATTTTCACAAGGAACCCTAACTTCACCCATGAATTCGTCAATGTCCTGTTGAAATTGGGCTTGACCCATAGTTTGGGAAGATGCACCAGGGGGAGAAGAGACCAACCCATGTTGTCCACGACCATGGGTCGATCAGACGCGCCAGAAATTGAAAAGTTTGAATACAGTGTCGGAGGCTTCTCTACTGGAGTTTTTGAGTTTAATTCAGGATGTTGAAAAGTTGTTTGGAGTAAATTGAGTCCATATCTGAAGTCATCTGGGGATGGGCAATTGATCGGTGGCAGTGCGCGACCTTGGCCGTCACCGGAGGTGGAATTTCCAACAAAAACAATTTGCGCCAAATCGATTTTGTGGCTAAAATTTTTGCTAAATCAGATTTTTTTTTGACTGATTGTTGGTTGGAAATTGTAGAAGGCCATGAGGTGATGCTATTGGTGTTCGTGTCTGGTGGATGTGGTGGTCGAAAGGTGGAGGAGTGAGGCTCCATAGTTGGTGGCTCACCAAGGATAAACAAGTGTGTGTTTTGGGTTCATTTCGTGTTTTTTGCTTGAAAACACTCAAAGCGACAATCATTTTATGTTTTCTTTATAAATTTTAAACTTGTTTTCAAAATGCGTTTTCGAAAATAGAAAAGAGAATACGTTTTCACTGTTTTGGAAAATAAAAAATAGAAAACTGCTTGAAAACGGCAAAGAGAGAACATGCCTTTAGTTACTACTCTCTCTCTCTCTCTCTCTGCACAAATTAATTTATTGTAAAGCCTCTTGATTAGATTATTAACATATGGTTTTTCATTAGCAAGTTTAAAAAGAAAAAAAATAGAACTTTATTAAAAATATTTATAATATATACCTTTTTAGCTTAATCGCAGAAAAAAGGAACAAAATCAAGAAAATTATGCATACGTTTCTATATAGTTTTCAGGCTGTAGAATTATAGAAAAGCTAACAGCCCAATTTAAAATGAATACAAAATTAATCTTAAACAGTAAGAAATAACTAATATCAATTATTATTTTACACGATTTTTGTAATTTTAATGTAATGAACATAACGTTTTAGATCAAATATGACAAGAATTTCTATTTTACAATGATAAAAAATCGAATGAAGTTTTTTTCTATATTTTTCTATATGTTATTAACTTATTAAGGTTAATATCTAATTTATTTAAGTCGGAACTCAAGGAAAATGAATAATTAAATTTGTAAGAGAAAACATTTTATTATTTCATGGGTAGGTATATTGTTACACGCTTAAAAAAAAATTAGGCGATCATACAATTTAATGTATAGGATGTGATTTATTATTTATAAATAAGAATATTTTTGTCCGTTTCACTATTTATGATGAAATATTTGTAAGTTTTTCAATTCTTTTGTACAAATGGTGTATTTTGTTCACCATGCATCCACAATTTGTGTGTAAATTGATCGGTAAACTCGGCCATCAGGTGGGAGTGACCGATTTTATTTCAATGGCAAAGTTAGTTACTATTTGACGAAATTTCAATGAGTTGATAAACAATCTTCTCCTATGTTAAGTGAAATGTTCGTGAATTTAGTAAATGAGATATGAGTGATATAAGATACTACGTCTCCTAAACTTTTATATGGATCGCATCTTGTCGAGTGTTTGCATATTTTTATCGTGTTTCCTGAATATTCAATATTGGAGTGAGATTGTGTGAACAACGTTAATTTCACCAATTTAATTGCTTGATATGTTGATTTGTTCGTGGTTATACCTAGAGTCGGAACCTTCAAGGAGCCATACAGGTGTAGTCGAGGTTAAAATTTGGGACAAAAATTGTCATGTTAATATCTACTTCAAAAGTTCTTGTCATCCCGTTCTCAATTTTAACGAACCTTAAAATATATTTGTAGTTTTGTCTCTACTTAAGTCGAGCTCGTCTATTCTACTCTTGATGTTCACAAGGCAAGTATCGACATCTCTAGCTCAACCATTCTAAGTACAACTCGAGATTTCAATAAAGCAAGCTAAGCATTTTGAAAAATGACACGTGGCAATATAGGAAACGTGCAAGCTCTGGCTAAGACTTGATATCAAAATCATACATTTTAATTGGTCTAAACCATATCACCTTATCCCTTGTCCAAACCTATGAAAAATCAGATATCCAACAGCACACAAAAAGTAAGAACCTTTGTTATCATATATTGATCATTTTTTCATCAAATTCAGCTTAAACACCACCAAATTCTCTCATGGCAATGGCAACTCAAGCCTCCCTCTTCACCCCAGTCCACTCCGCCCCGAAATCTGGTGGCGACCGGGTTGCGGTGCCGTGGAAGCAATCCTCACTTGCATCATTCATCAGTCCTAAGCCACTCAAGTCCACCTTGCCAAACCGCTCTATAAGGGCCATGGCGGAGGAGGCTCCGGCCACGAAAGAGGCAGTGAAAGAGGCTCCGGTGGGCTTCACCCCGCCGGAATTGGACCCGAACACCCCATCACCAATCTTCGGTGGTAGCACCGGTGGGCTATTGCGTAAAGCCCAGGTGGAGGAATTCTATGTCATTACATGGGAATCACCTAAGGAACAAATATTTGAAATGCCTACTGGTGGTGCCGCCATAATGCGGCAGGGCCCGAACCTACTGAAATTGGCTAGGAAAGAACAGTGTTTGGCTCTTGGGACTAGATTAAGGTCCAAGTACAAGATTAAGTACCAATTTTACAGAGTTTTTCCTAATGGTGAGGTGCAATATTTGCACCCTAAGGATGGTGTCTACCCCGAGAAGGTGAACCCCGGCCGCCAAGGAGTCGGGCAGAACATGCGATCCATTGGTAAAAATATCAGCCCGATCGAGGTCAAGTTTACAGGTAAGCAAGTGTATGACATATGAGGCAAGACAAGTTAATTATGTGACACTGTAGCTCGATTCTGTAATTATTTGATCTTCTGTACTTTTGTCGATGCCACAAACACCTGTTGGACTATTTAATGTTTGTATGTTTTCTACTATCAAGTTTGCATATTACAGTTTTAAGAATATGAATATGGCCTTTTGTACTTCAAATCTGAGGACTTATTGCCTATGTTTTAAGTAGCTTAAAAGCTAATTTTTTTATTAACGAAACTCGGCATCCTAAAATTGATAATTGGTACTTTCGAAAAAAGTAGCTTTTAAGTTAATTTCAACATGCAATTTGTTGTGTTGTGTTCCTACTGAAATTAAGTTTCTAGACAATTCAGGGATATATCAAACACTATCGATGAAACTTGGCATTCTAAAATTGATGATTGTTTTTTACATGTTAGTCTTATAACAAAGAAAACAATTCATAGAATTACAAATATGTAAATCACAAACAGACCTAAATCTTCCTATTCATAGACAATTACAGTAGTATTAGTGCATGTTTGATAGACAGTATGGTGTCATCACCGGAGGATCTTCTTGGTACGGATTATGATGAAAGCAGACATTATACCACATTACTAAGTCCTTGTTTACCAATGGCCTATCCCTGCTCAATATAGGAAAAAAGAACGCGTCACATTGGAGCCTAAGGAGCCGTTTTTGTTAATAATATTATAAGACTGAAGAATTAGATTTACCTTCGGCTCCAGTTAGCTAAATCGTCATCTCCATGGCTCCTATCGGCATAAAAACCTCCAGCTCACCTCTCTGTCTTGTTATAGCGGAGTCAGACACGCCTAGTCATCGTCCGACAGTAACAGCAGGGATACAACTGGTCGTCCGGTGATCAACTTGTAACCTACGTGATTTCCAAGTTTGTTCTCTTATTAGGATTGATTATCAAGAGCTCGACTGGATCCAAACCTAGTCGAGTCCTAGAATGAGCTTCTGTTTTAATTGTTTCTTGAAAGACTCTCCAGTAACTCTTCCTTGGTGAAATGTCAGTGGACATCGCCCTAACTGTTTTCAATTTGGATTTCACGAATGAGTTATTAGTACCATTGGTATGAAGGTCGAAGTAGTATGTAAGAAAATGATTGTGGTTGCCTGCAATTGTGTCATCTGCTACTTCCATATGTATCATTGTTTATTTGATTAGTACTCGTGCACTAGGTAGCCTTTCATCTCTAGCACACCGGTTAGGCTTACCTGCCATAATAGTATGAATCTTTGATTGAAATATATGATTATTCTATTACAAAAGGAAAAATATAGCACGTCTAAGAGTTAAGTTATTCCAATGAAATTTTCGGATTATGTAAAACTTAATCATGTATTATACACGTATCCCTCAACCGCAGATCAACTGTTTTCTAAGAGAGGCGTGAGAAAATCCGCATATGTATCTTTCTCCGACGTAGAAATTGAGTGGTGGCTCCTTACCTCCACTTTGAAGGAACCGCTTTGCTTAAACTCCCAATCAAGTATATGATCATAATTTCCAACAGTTGCCACCATTCTTACAACCAAATTAGTTTCTGCCTCTCCAATAGTTATCTGTGGATCGAAGCGAATTCAATTCAGTATAAAAAGTTCCCAACCTAGCAATAGATTAGCAGAGTTTAAGAATTATACTTTACTACTTTTCCAGGTTCGCCAACTTCTGTATGTCTCCACAAGCAGCATTTCCAGAATATCACTCGAAAATGCGTTGGCATTGGGGACTTCTTGTGCCTGTCCATACACTCCTGCCATGTATCCATTCATATACACTGTGTTGCCTGGACGGTCGATGAGGGGCACTAAGGTACTAGCAAACCGGCCAAAACCAAATTCCCCTACGTCCAGGAAAGTCTGGTAGTACCATTCTGGTGTAGGGTCCATATATGAACCAAAAGTCTCCGATACATGCCCTCTGCATAGCACACTTCGAAACTTTTGCCTCATCTCTTCAAAGATAGAAGCTTTCGATATAATTAGTCCACCCGATCATTGAATGCCACATGAAAATCCTAATTAGCCCATCAAATTTCATGTCCTTTGATGGTGATCTGAGAGTTTGTTCCATCACAGAAGACAGAATTAGGCCTCTGGCTTTGGAAATTAGTGCCTTCATCGCTAGGCAAGGGAGCTTTTAATCTGTCCATATATTTGCTAACTTCCATCGACTCTACATCGATTAGTAGAGTTATGCCTTCAATAGGCCTTGCCCAGATGTTGGTTGTACCTTCATGATAGAAACACGTAACTCGAACAACTCTTCTTGTTACAACTTCACCGAACCAATCTGTAGTTAATGGTAAGCAAGTGACTTCCGAAAAGTTGAAACCCCTTTTAAAAATCGAGTTTTGAAACTCGGGATGCTTCATAGGGAGCCTGCTGGCCCGAAAAAACTCGATAAATGAGAAAGGAGGGTAACCATGGCCTTTATAAACTTTATTAGAAACTATTGGGACTCTTAGCCAAGTCTACTATGAGTTCGTGTGTTTGATGCCTAACGCAGACTACTGCTTTAGCTTGACGATGAGGAAAAACTCATTTTAACGTGAATGTAACCACTGCAGAACATCATTTTTCTCTGGCTCTTTGATGTCGACAAAATGAAATGTTTATATTCAATAGAGTACCAAGGCGAGACTTTTGAAAGACGAGCCTAATTTGGTCGAACTCAGTCGGGTAAAAAGAATCTAGGGGGTGAGATAGGCTGGTAGTTAATAAACTTATCCAAATTATAGCAAGAAATAGAACAGGAATTTTCAAGGGCACTAACTGTATCAAGACTAAATGCATCAGATTTGATTCAATATTGATGCATTCAAAATCAAGAACAGTTCTGAATATATTGAATGATGATCATGATTGCAACAAATGGCACAACTTTTTTTTTACATACAGTTCTTTACAATTCTTGATAATCCCATGTTACTTCGATCCAGCTTTTAAGAAATGATGGTCTGTCATAATTAATGTAGATTGGCAAATAAGTTTGATGTCCTTTTATTGGTTTGATGGCTAAGAATACTTGATTTGTGCCTTTGTCAGATAATAAGAGAAATTGTTCCTTACATTTCATCTCATGTGCACTTTTGAGGAAGTATAGCAGCATCCAAGTCGACAATTTTACGAGAAAAGATGTGTTTGATAAGATAGGTGGAACGACGTTGCACAAATCTAAAGAAGAAATAGCAGTCTTCATCAACTTTCTCAAAGTGAAATAAAAAGTTTTGAAGTACAATAAAGAGTTTTTTCCAAGTGTTTTCTCTGTAAAACTTTCTTTTGATAGAAACACGAGGCTGATATCCTGATAGTCAAATTTTGACGTAATTTCAAAGGGGAAAAAAATTAAAAATATAATGCACCAGCCGGGAATCGAACCCGGGTCTGTACCGTGGCAGGGTACTATTCTACCACTAGACCACTGGTGCTTTAGATGTCCAATGTTTTATTTATTTAAGTGAAAACTAAATCTCCAAATTATGAAACATGAAAACTTACCGGATGAACATGAAATAGTCAAATATATACCTGCATATTCACATATTTTGATGTTGAAAGCTAAAAAAAACATCAAAGTATTTCATCATTTGTTATCGCCTTTTCAGGGTAGATGTTCTTTTTTTTTGGAATCATTGCAAACAAATGGGACTATGAATCAAGAAATACAATTAATTGAGTTTCAAACAATCAGTAGCAAATGAGGCAGTGTTGTGACTACTATGTTCCAATTTGAGGAACAAAACAAGGATCGTGTCCAACCTCATGTAACAAAGCTACAATGTCAAGGATAATTACTACATTCGAAAAGAAATAACTAAAAGATGTAAGATGTTGAACGACAAGTGGGCATTGCACTCGGCTGCATCCACTCATTCCACCAAGTCGGCATCCTACTTGTATATAAGCCGCCATCCTCGTCCAATCTAATTTCATCCCAATAATCAACTGTGTTATCTCCCTCCCCTCTATCCCTCTCTGTCATAAGATTTTTCTCTCTTGCTATCTCGTTTCACAACATATGAAGATCTAAATCCTAGCCAAAACCAACCTCAAAGTTGAAAACCAAGTTACCATCAATAGCTTGGTTCTAAAGTCCAACAAAGGGAATGTACAACACCTCAATAAAAAAAGTCGGCTTTTTGTTACGGATATCTTATCTCTTAAGGAATAAATCTCACATCGATTAAATACTAAAATATTGATAAATACCTGAGGGTTTAGACTGCTCCATTTAACAACATTGACGTTTTAAAATGAAACTCCAAGTTTTATCTCTTGTTTGATCCCCATTTTTTTTAATACATTTTTGTTTCTCTTCTTTTCAACTACATGCTCTTTAATAAAATAATATTACACGTAAATCAAAAACTTTTCATTATTTTTTAACCACGCATTTTTTATCAATCTATTATTTCGAAATGCATTCTACATAAAAATGGAGTTCAAACAGGCCATTAATAAGATATTAGATCTCATTAAACTCAAATAAGCAATTCGATCCGACTAAAACTCAAATGATCACACGAATTTCAAGATTTGTGTTCCCAAACGAGAACTTGGCTACTCACAAGATTGATCTTTTAATACAGAAGTCACGTCTTAGTAATTTAATTTGTAATTCTTCACTATTTTAAAACATATTCATTTGTTTTTAGACCCTAACTAGCAGGAAAATAGCTTTCGAGGTTGAGAGTTCAGAACTACAACACAAGGAATCCCAAAGTACCAGCCGACTGCAGATTTTTGAAGAAAGCCGAAAAGCCATTCAGATCTTTCTTCAAATCCGTGATCGACAACAAGGAATACAAAGGTTCCTACCCAAATTGAGTTTTACAGTATTCAGGAGGAACAAATACTTGACATTGGAGTGCAAATTTTCGTGAAAACCCGAACTGGAAAACAATTACAAGTCAAGTTTTGAAACAACGGTCATAGGTAGGACATCCCAACCTGGAGTTACCAAATGCAACTCACAGTTGCAAGTTCGTCAATGTATAGTAAATTTACTAACCGAATATCTATCGATCCGTCTACACACACAGCATATGTTCCTTTAAATCAAGAAGCTCCAAAAGTATGCCTATTCACGGATTTGATGTTGAAAGCTAAAAAGGCATGCAAGCAATTCATATTTCCATCTCAGACTAATCCAACAACCTTATTTCGTTAAACAAACATGAATTAGCTGTTGATGCCGTATACAATTTCAGTAGGGAGGGGAAGAGGGGTCGGTCATGTTATTTTTCAAGGGATCTTGCTACATAAAGGTTCATACAAGGATTACATAATGTCACATGACACACTCTACCGTTTGTTAGTTTAAAACACAATAAACTTTTTCATCCAATCTTTTCTCTCCACGTTATTTTATGTAATCCCTTGCGTATTTTTTTTATGTACAAGTAGCATAATCATTTTTCAAGATTGTAACTAAAGCCAAATGGCCGTGAATTGAAGCTTAACTACTTATTGTACATACCGATTGGTTAAATATTTTGAATTTTGATGCACACTTCATTTCTTTTCGGAAAATGATTTTGCATTGCAGTTTCAGCCCATGTTTAGTATTGATACCGATTAAAATCTAGCTCCTGTTTGAGCCATTTTATTTTTTTTCGTTCTCATTTTTCTACTCATTTTCAACCACACATTTTTCAATAAAATAATATTTTCCATCACATCAATAACTTTTCCTTCTTTTTCAACCACATATTCCCCCAGTACATCAACAAAAAAATGCATTCTTGACCCTAAAATGTGCACCAAGCAGGGTTCTAAATTTAATTTAAGTCAAAGTCAACATTTCATTTTAACCACATGTTTGATGGATTCAATGACTTTTCAACCACACATTTCATCAACTTCTATTAAAAATCTAATTTTGATAACCATCAAGGATCTTAATATTACATGCTTAAGAATGACTCGTAAAATTACTCGCGGCTTAAGTCCCAAGCGAGGAAATAGTGGAAAATGCCCGGTTGACCCGGCCACTTTTCCAAAATAGCCGATGACCGTGTAAAAAAACAAGGAAAAACTAGAAAAAACTTAAAATTCCAGCATTACACC